TTATAGTTACAGTCAAAGTAATTAGTTAGATTACTCGTTACCTGAAAAAAGTAACGGCGTTAGTAACGCCGTTACTAGTAACGCCGTTATTCCCATTACTGTATATAAACAAATGATATTGCATTAGAGTGCATCTAACATACTGTAACAGGTAAGAGTTCAGGAGTGTACGCATGGCTAAGGCCAGTAGCCATCCGTGCACTCCGCTCAATTATCATTTTATTGCATGTAACGTCTGGGTCTGGTCCCTGTGTTTGCCATCACAATCGGTTGAATTCCATCTGACCAATCAGCAAGCACAGGAGGCGGGTGTTGTAGTTAGTTGTGGGTGACTTCAAGAGTTTGCGTCGAACGGGCGAGTAACGAGTTTGTAATTTGGCAATGGCGAAGAATGCGATAGTAAAGTAATCCGGTCTGGTTCTATCAAAAAATTGAAGCCGGAGCAAGAGGAATGTTTAGCAAATGTAATCGCTGGTCAAGATTGTGGCGCTACTCCCCACGGGCTCCGTTAGCGGCAAAGGAGATGGCTAGGCTAAATGCTAACAACACACTCAGGCGCATTACACACGTCACGGTAAACTCAGATCCAATTGTTTCAATCTGCAAAAGGAGGTAACCCCTCCTATCCTGTAAACGGAGCACAATGGAGCGCCTCCAGACCTTACGAAATGTAAGTAAGTAGTAGTAGTAGTAATCTTTATTTATATACCGCCTTTTCACTGCAGATCTGAGTCTCAAAGCGGTTTACAATTTTTAATATTGGGCAATTGTCTCTCACTCCACACAGAGATGGGAGCGGGGTCGCCAGTATAGGAGGCGCATGCTAGAACTATTGGACATATTTTTAGTGGTAGGGGAAACCGGAGTACCCGGAGGAAACCTACGCAGACACGGGGAGAACATGCAAACTCCACTCAGAAAGGCCCTGGTCCGACCAGGATTCGAACCCAGGACCTTCTTGCTGAGAGGCGAGAGTGCTATCCACTCAGCCACCGTGCCGAAATGTAATTTTGTACTATGGTATGGTACGACCAGGCTATGACTGCTCTGTAATAAAAACTGTCTTTTAGCCTCATGGTACTGGTTCTGGTCTTGGTCCTGGCCGTGTAGCTGCAGTCTCAGGCTGACACAGAGCTCTGGATGGCAGTGAGTGGGGTCTGGATAATGCGGTCCAGTTCCCACACCAGGTCCTAATGCAGTTTGTTAAAATGCTTTCTACAAGGATCACAGGAGAACATTTTCCTGTGCAAATGTTAATAGATTAACAACACATGACTATTATAACACTTATCACTCACTTCTATCACTACAAGAAACTTGCTTATACTTTAAAATGTTCATATGAATCTAATTTGTTGTTGGCTCATATCTTGAACTGATTGCTTCTATGTGTTCATGTATGTCAACCATAGACTGTAAATATTAACGGACGTAGTCACGCCTGTCTCCGCCGTTCAAACAAATGGGCCAAAAATTGTGCTCTACTGGAGCTATCCAAAATGGCCGCCAGTGGTCCATCCCACAAGACAATTGTGAAAAAACGCATCTGCGAATGCGTCAGTCGGTGCAGCTCCATTCATTTAAACGAGTGCCTTCAAAAATTCACAGCAAGTAAACTAGAGTGGTCCAAAAAAAATCACCCCCCTCAGCATTGACACACATGTGGACCAAGAGCCAACTTTTGGACCATCCTGTAAAGGTGTTTGAGAGGTCTGCCAATGCTATATGTTAGCATTGGCTAATTCTTATACCGGGTCCACCCCCATCGGCCCGGGGTGGTATTGCAGCATGTCAGCGCACGTCATTTTGGCCACTTTTGAGCTGGGACCCGCCCCCACTGGTGTCAAAATAGGTCCAGGTTTCTTCTGAAAAAGAGATTTTGATTTAAATGAGCGTTTACAGAGTTTACAATGTTGAATAATAATAAATAAAGTACTAATGTTTAGGTCTCCTCATACACTGAGAATAAACTTTGAGTCTCTCTGCATGAGGACAGTGCTCACAGCTCCTACAGTTTGCAGTTACTTTCACATTTGGTAGCAATAAACACAAAACTGAACAGTAAACATGTGTCTCCAAAACAGCCTGAGACCAGAGGTTATTCTAGTTATCGTGATGTGGTCCGAGTTTGGGCAATATTTCCGTTTCCAAATGTGACCCAAATTTAAACCTGAGCCAAAAAAGTAAGGCAGATTTCCAACACACGCCGACATTCTTGGGATTCCTGTCCCGCAAAAGCAGCATTACACCCTCTGCCTCTCTCCCGCTCACACAGCACCTGTCACACTCTGCTTTGATCCTTGTCAAACATCCGACTACAGAGTGTTAGGGACTCAGGGACAACCGTTTAGTCCGAGAAGAGACAGTTGAGACAAAATGGGTCGAATATAGTATATTGCAGCTCACAGGACGCAGAAAGCTCCTATTGCCACGAACAGAGCACCAAAAATACAGATTCATTTTTATATCAGAGTTGTTCCTTGCCGATGCAGGAGGGGCTACACTGAAAAAAGTATAATCTTGCTGGGATTTATTTACTAAAAAAACATTAATTATGCTTATTATTTTAAGTGCAAGTTATGTTCCTGCTTGAAATTAGTTTGTCATATAAGTTTATTTTACTATTTCTAAGATAATACTTCATAAAGAGTCTGAGCAGTGAGTTTTAAGCTTGTTGTAAGTATTTTTTTTCAGACAACTTTTTTTGTTGTTTAGATAAAATAAGTACGTTATGCAATTATTTCAAGAAAACATTTCTCAAAAATGTTTAAGAAATTAGTAAATAATACTTGGGAAGTCTGTTTTTATACTAGAATCAAGCCACTTGGGGCTAGTATTATTTTCTCATTTTCAGATTTTTTCTTGTTCTATTGGCTGATATTTTTAGGCAATATTTTACTTATTTTCATATATTTTTTCCAAGGGTGTTTTCCCAGTGGAAGTACAGGGGTGAAGATCCAGGACAATCAACATTTACGGACATTGGTCTCTGCCCGTTATGGACCAATGGCTGTGTTGGTCGAATCAACAGTTTAGCAAAGTCCTCTGAGATAACGACTGTTGTGATTTAGGGCTACGATACGATACGATACGATACAATACAAAGCTCACGATAACAATAATATCACGATAACAATAATATCACGATAACGATTTTATCACGATATGACGATTATCGATATATTGGTCAGAAATATACCATATGCCACTTACTTCACTGTACTGCTGTCACCTTACATTGTGTGCACCATGTGCACTTGTATATTGTAAATAATAACTAACTCTATTTTAAATTTAAATGTATTCCTTAGAAGTGTTTTTTATTCTTTATTTTTATTATCTCTTTCTGACTGTTGCACTGAGCCAAAGCAATTTCCAAGTCTGTGACTTCCTGTTACTTACGTGGCAATAAAAATGATTCTGATTCTGAAATAAAAGAAAAATTTTAAGAGAAAAAAATACACTTTATGATAAATAGAACGGAGATGCGTAATGTAGCCATATATCAAGTATTGATACTAATTTTAAAAAAGAAATAAAAAGAAACAAAAATTGATATCGATACTTGGCAAATTCATATTGATAATCGAATCGAGGGAGAAAGTATCGCGATATATCGATATATCGTCACACTCCTATTTAGGGCTACACAAGAATACATTGGATTGAATTGAGATTGAGGAGATTGTACTCATGAGTCCTGAAGTCCAAGTGTTCTGCGGAAAAATGACACAAGGTCAACTTTTTGTGAAATGTAAATATTTGGTTTTCTGGAGCAGTGTTGAAAAAGCTTTTGTTATCGCCGAGTAGAACAAAGCCACAACACTGGATTCTCAGACTGAAATGTGTCAAAGTAACATCGACCATCGGAGCCATTTGAATCAATGCAACAGAACAATACACAACGTGAATATTGTGGCTAATGTACCAATTCTAAAGTATTCAATTATTGGTTTTTCGTCTTAATTTTAACAAGATTTTCTGAAGAGACAAAGCCAATTAGTCTTATTTAAAGAACTGTTGCTTTATTTTCTCATTCCAAGGGAGACATTTCTTGTGTCTGTTTAAAACAAGATCATTTTGTTTTGTCTCTTTGGCAAATATTGTTTTAAGGCTCAGTCAAAACGTGCTCAAATTACATTTTGCCAAATCCGAGCCATTTTTGACTTTTCTTTAAATCACCTTTTGCAGTGTAGTGGTGTATCATCTTTTCGGAAGCCATTTTTTCATTGAACTTCCCGTTTTCCGTCGGTCTTAAATGTATATCATATATGGCGGGCAAATTTGAATGTGAAATACTCTGAATTTGCCCATTATTTGTCAGCAAAATTTTTATTATTACAGGAAATACATGCTTGAAATAGTATATATAAATGAGATAATAAACTAGTACGACATCTTTAGCCTTGAGGATTATTTTACAGGAAGGAGTTATCTTCAGTGTGTTGAGTTTAGACAAACGCACAACGGATAAGAGTCTGAGCTCGAGCAAGAAATATATACGTGACAAACAAATGAAAGATAAATATCCAAAAGCAAGTGAAGTGAAGCCACGAGGGTCTCTGTCTGGAGCAGTGGTCGCCGTGGCAACAGGGGCCCATCTCCAGATCATGTTGATGCTCTGTTTGATGAGGTTGAAAGGTGAAAACCGTTCTTTTTAGCTGTGATATGACTGAGTATACATTGAGTTTTAATAGTCTTAATTCTGATATTCATACTTTTTTAATTGTATTTTATAAAGTTTGTAAATGTAAGTAATCTTTATTTATATACCGCCTTTCACAGACCAGAGTTACAAAGCGGTGTACACATTTTGTTTTTTGTTTTTTTTTTAAGTGTGTGATTAAAGCATTGTTGTGCTTTATAAACTTGATTGATTGATTTTAGCGGTAGGGGAAACCGGAGCACCCTGAGGAAACCTACGTCGACACGAGCACTAACCACTCAGCAACCAAATCTAATTCACTGATTTATGCAGCCACACCTGCCTGTGAGATCCTTTCATCAAATCTCAGACGCGAAGCAGAACAGGGCCTGGTTAATTAGCTTAATTTTCAGTGAGAGACGAGCTAACGGTTGAAAGTGTTAGAAACCAAAGCACTTGAACGTTCTTCACCTGTTTTCTCTCATGGATTTCACAGTGACAATTGTTTCCTGTATTTTGTTTTCGCTTGTTTTATCTCTGTACATGTCTGGTGCACACTGGGAACTTTTGCACATCTATTCCAAGGTGGTTTTACTGCCAGGATCAAAAACATAGTGTCTAAAGCAGACTTGGAGATTCTTATCCATGCATTTGTCTCCAGTAGGTTAGACTACTGCAATGGCCTGCTCACAGGTCTGTCCAAACAGGCTGTAAAACAGCTGCAGTACATTCAAAATGCAGCAGCTCGAGTCCTGACTAGAACCAGGAAGTACGACCACATTAGTCCTGATTAGAACCAGGAAGTACGACCATATTAGTCCAGTTCTCAGGTCTCTGCACTGGCTTCCTGTGGCTCAGAGAATAGACTTTAAAACAGCTCTGCTTGTTACAAGTCTCTCCATGGCCTCGCACCAAAATATATTAGTGACATGTTAGTCCCATATGAACCAGCCCGGACTCTGAGGAGCACAGGGACTGGACTCCTGTTAGTGCCCAGAGTCAGAACTAAACATGGGGAGGCTGCTTTTCAGATTCATGCTGCTAAAATCTGGAACAATCTTCCTGAAGATGTGAAACAGGCCTCCTCTCTGACAATGTTTAAAACCAAGTTAAAAACGGTGCTGTTTAGCTGTGCATACAACTGAGGGATTTTATATTTTTATCTTTCGTTTTAATGTTCTGTGATTATTTATGATTTTGCATGTTCTCCCCGTGTCTGCGTAAGTTAAGTAAGGTGCTCCGGTTTCCCCTATCACTAAAAACATGTACAATAGGTGAGGGTTGGATGAGTGTGTGTTTGTGAGTGTGCAAATATGGATATTAGCTACAAAAAGTTAGAATCTGGTGTATTCACAGTTACTGCTGTTCATTAACACACACTGTCCCATTCACATGAACAAATAAATATTAGACTTGGTCCAAACTCTCCCCATAACAAATGATTGATGATGATATTTACTGCTCTTCAAACAAAATAAATGAATGGTTGTGGTCTCAGCTGGACACACAAAACACAACTCATTGACTGTCATTGACTTATTGGTCTGAGACTGAGGATTTCTGTCAAACTTCACTCTATTCAACGGGGATTACATGACAAAAAAATAGAAACAAACGTATTTTTGCTGATGAAAGTAGACAATCCAGTTTTTCAGAGTCTGGTTTCATATTTCACATAGTCTTAGCACATTTTTTTATTTAACCTTTATTTAACCAGAAGAACCTCAATGAGATTAATAATCTCTTTTTCAAGAGTGTCCTGGACAAGAGGCACACATTCAACATACATTTACAACATATAAAGAAATACACGCTAAAATAAAAACAAAGAGATTGAGATAACACATGAAAGCATACACACCAAAATGAAACCAATAAAACAAAACAAAAATAATTCAAATAAAACGGGTACAATGTGCAGACTGTTTATCTAAAACATTTAGCCGTCTTTTAAACAAGTACATAATATTCAGTGGGTCTTGAGAATCAGTAAAATCAACTAAAACGGCTGGCAGTCAATGAGTTCAAAAGTTATGTTTTTGAAGAAAAGACTGAGGATAAAGGTATTAACATATATTAGGAAGAAAGAAGGCGATGTTGTTGCCGGGGAAATGAATACCTTGTGCTCTCCATTCTCAGCCCAACAGAGTAAACCATTAACCGTTCTTACCTCCCCCTTCCTGGACGTCCTGGCTTCCACATTCCCTTCTCTCTCTCCCCCTTCTTTAAATATTGTGTTTTATCAAATGAATACAAATTTGCACATATGTTTTTCCAAATCAAATTGAAAAAGAAAAAACTAGAGAGGCCCCTGACCCCTCCCTCAGGATAACTCACACTGACGCTCATCCCCAGTTCATTTAGGTGGATCTTTTTTGTTTCATATCATAGCGCTTTGAGGTAAGGTGTAATATAAATTAAGTGTATTATTATTCATCATCTTTAATTATTATTATTACATGTATTATTATTTCATTATCATCATCTCTTTTTTTTGTATTTGCCTAATGACATTTCTATTATTTTAGTATTATTATTATTTTATTTATTATAATTTATTTAAGGGATTTTTGTGTTGGTATTTCTGAGATTATGAGTGAAAAAGCAGAGAGTGAGTGGTGGCGCTCTTACCTCCCGCCCACAGCGAAGTCTGAGATGGCGTAATAATACGACTTCAGGACCTTGGGGTCGTTGAACACTTCGTCTCCGAACGTGTTGAGTCGATTCAGCGTCACTTTAATGTCAGTCGCCGTCACCCAGTCCTTAAAGACAACACAAGGATTTACATTTCTGCATCCTCCTCCTCTGTATTCTCCTCCTCTCCATCAACTCTCCTCTACATCCTCCCTCTCCATCTACATCCTCCCTCCTCTACATCCTCCCTCTCCATCCTCCCTCTACATCCTCCCTTCTCTACATCCTCCCTCCTCTGCATCCTCCCTCCTCTGCATCCTCCCTCCTCTCCATCCTCTCCCCTCTGCATCCTCCCTTTTCTTAACCCTCCCTCTCCATCCTCCCTTTCTCTTCATCCTCCCTCTCCATCCTCCCTTCTCTACATCCTTCCTTCTCTCCATCCTCCCTTCCCTACATCCTTCCTTCTCTCCATCCTCCCTCTCCATCCTCCCTCCTCTCCATCCTCCCTTCCCTACATCCTTACTTCTCTCCATCCTCCCTCTCCATCCTCCCTTCTCTTCATCCTCCCTTCTCTACATCCTCCCTCCTCTCCATCCTCCCTTCTCTTCATCCTCCCTTCCCTACATCCTCCCTTCCCTACATCCTCCCTTCTCTTCATCCTCCCTCTTCATCCTCCCTTCTCTTCATCCTCCCTTCTCTACATCCTCCCTTCTCTACATCCTCCCTCCTCTACATCCTCCCTCCTCTACATCCTCCCTCCTCTACATCCTCCCTTCTCTACATCCTCCCTCCTCTACATCCTCCCTCCTCTACATCCTCCCTCCTCTACATCCTCCCTCCTCTACATCCTCCCTCCTCTACATCCTCCCTCCTCTACATCCTCCCTCCTCTACATCCTCCCTCTCCATCCTCCTCTACATCCTCCCTTCTCTACATCCTCCATCCTCTGCATCCTCCCTCCTCTGCATCCTCCCTCCTCTCCATCCTCTCCCTCTGCATCCTCCCTCTTCTTAACCCTCCCTCTCCATCCTCCCTTTCTCTTCATCCTCCCTCTCCATCCTCCCTTCTCTACATCCTTCCTTCTCTCCATCCTCCCTTCCCTACATCCTCCTCTCTCCATCCTCCCTCTCCATCCTCCCTCCTCTCCATCCTCCCTTCCCTACATCCTCTTCTCTCCATCCTCCCTCTCCATCCTCCCTTCTCTTCATCCTCCCTTCTCTACATCCTCCCTCCTCTCCATCCTCCCTCTCTTCATCCTCCCTTCCCTACATCCTCCCTTCCCTACATCCTCCCTTCTCTTCATCCTCCCCTCTTCATCCTCCCTTCTCTTCATCCTCCCTTCTCTACATCCTCCCTTCTCTACATCCTCCCTCCTCTACATCCTCCCTCCTCTTCATCCTCCCTTCTCTACATCCTCCCTTCTCTACATACTCCCTCCTCTACATCCTCCCTCCTCTACATCCTCCCTCCTCTACATCCTCCCTCCTCTACATCCTCCCTCCTCTACATCCTCCCTCCTCACATCTCCTCCTCTACATCCTCCCTCCTCTACATCCTCCCTCCTCTACCTTCTTCCTCCTCTGCATCCTCCCTCCTCTAAATCCTCCCTCCTCTACCTCCTAAGTTCAGATTATTTATTTGAGCTCAGAGCAACACAAACAGTTGATACCACAAAAAAGACAATATTTGTTTTAAGTGCTACATAAATGGGCTCAAAAGGAGTCAGCAGAAGCAAAAAAATACTTAAATCAATTGTAATTGTGTAACTGGTCTGATATGGTTCTCCAGCCGATACAGAGGCAAGAGTGAGAGAGACCAGAGGCCAAATATAAACGCCAACACCTTCACTGCATAATTCAATTAAAGTCAGTAATGCACTGCAAAATATAATTGCTTGAATTGAGTGGTTTTGTCAAATATGCTAAACTTAAGATACATTCAGACATACGTATATTCATCACTTTTTGCAATGCAGAGATGCCAGAGTACTACATACTGTAAATACATATCAGAAGTATTTGAGCTATTTTCCTGTGTATTCTCGTTGTGAGCTGGCAAAAAGGAACCAGACCTCATTCAAAACACATAAGATCTTCTACTGTTTTGTAAAACTTCAGGTGCAATTATAAATGTGTAGTTGTGAAAGATAATAGTTTTACAATCCATAGATGACTGTGTGGTGGTTTTATAAGTTATGGAGATACGGATTGTCTACTTCCATCTCCACTTCAAACTGAGCGAGCAAATTGGATTTTTGTGTTTACAACAGGTGTATGTAACGTAACATTACATTCAGACAGTTTTATTGGCAGAATACATGCATGCAGGTGTGCTTCATGGGCATAACAGTGGCACAGTAGTGGAGTTTGCATGTTCTCTTCACGTCTGCATAGGTTTCCTCTGGATGCTCCGGGTTTCCATACCACAATTTATTTTGTTATTTTTTTTACAAGCGATCCCATCTCTCCATCTGTGTGTGGAGTGAGAGACAAATGACCACACGGTTGTAAATCGCTTTGTGACTCTGGTCTGTGAAAGCTTCTATAGAAATAAATATTACTTACATGTGTGCGAGTATTGTACTGTACCTGCAGCCAGAGTACTGTGTATAGCAAATCTACCTTCTCGCAATATAACTCAAGGATTTTCTACATCAGCAAAATACAAAACAAAAACATTATAATCAAAATAAGAAAGACTACACTCCCACTCACACAAGCCACAGACGTGAACTTGTTTTAGATTCCAGCGAGAGGCACTGTGTTGTGAGAAATCTATCGAAAGAAATGGAGGAACCGAGTTAAGGAGGAGGCTGTTGTGATAGGAGCAGAGGCTGACACCTGCTGTGGTTACATCAGCAAACAAAAACAGTGCACAACATACAGGAAGCAGCAGCTCAAGGAACCGTGGGAACTAGACCATAAGTCTGCGACAGCCTCAGATCTACCACAAAGTTCTTTACAACTGCTACAGCGAACACATCTGCTGAGGAAAGGTGTACTCCAGAGGACAGAGCCGGGAAAACTGTGGTCCAGGGGCCATTTGTGGTCTGTTCTAGAGAGAGACAGAGATAGAGATAGAGCCGGAGACAGAGAGAGAGGGAGAGAGAGAGAGAGAGCGAGAGCAACAGAGAGAAGGTCATGGGGAGAAAAGAGGGAGACAGAGAAAGCAACAAATACAGAGACAGACAGAGAGTGAAATAGATAGAGCGAAAGAGAGTGAGAGAGACAGAGGCAAGAGAGACCGAGAGAGACAGAGAGAGTGACAGAAAGAGTGGCAGAGAGAGTGACAGAGACAAGAGAGAACGACAGAGACCGATAGAGACAGAGAGAGTGGCAGAGAGAGTGGCAGAGAGAGTGGCAGAGAGGGTGGCAGAGGGATGACAGAGAGAGTGGCAGAGAGAGTGGCAGAGGGAGTGACAGAGAGAGTGGCAGAGAGAGTGGCAGAGAGAGTGGCAGAGGGAGTGACAGAGGGAGTGACAGAGAGAGTGACAGAGAGAGTGGCAGAGAGAGTGGCAGAGAGAGTGGCAGAGGGAGTGACAGAGAGAGTGGCAGAGATAGTGACAGAGACAGAGACAAGAGAGAGCGACAGAGACCGAGAGAGACAGAGAGAGTGGCAGAGAGAGTGACAGAGAGAGTGGCAGAGAGAGTGGCAGAGAGAGTGGCAGAGAGAGTGGCAGAGAGAGTGGCAGAGGGAGTGACAGAGAGAGTGGCAGAGAGTGACAGAGAGAGTGGCAGAGAGTGGCAGGGAGAGTGGCAGGGAGAGTGGCAGAGAGTGGCAGAGAGAGTGGCAGAGAGTGGCAGAGAGTGGCAGAGAGAGTGACAGAGAGAGTGGCAGAGAGTGGCAGGGAGAGTGACAGAGAGAGTGGCAGAGCGTGGCAGAGCGTGGCAGAGAGTGACAGAGAGAGTGGCAGGGAGAGTGGCAGAGAGAGTGGCAGAAGATAGATTCTATTTACTCCACACGAGAAGACAGAAGTGAGATACATCTGACCATCACCATCCAATTCCTCAATAAACGTGTTTTATGTTGCAGTTTTCAGGACACTGCAAGACACTATCATTATTCATTCACTCCATACATAGTGGTGATAAACTACTACTGTAGCCACCACCACCAGCTATTCACACACATACATACCAGACTCATTCCAATGTGGGTGAAGTGTCTTGGTGAAAGACACATGGACAGTTTGGCACTTTACAGCCACATCCGCCCCACTGTGGCACCTGGTGTTCCCAAAGATCTCCCATCACAGTACTAACCAGTCCCTGCCCTGCTCAGCTTCAGTGGTCTGACAGGATCTGGCTTTCAAATACAGGTATGGCCACTGCATTACACGTATTCTTTATTTAGTTGGGACAGTGCATGTTTTTACTTTGAACTTTTGTACATTATTTTAGTGGTAAGGGAAACCTGAGCACCTGGAGGAAACCTACACAGACACAGGAGGAACTTGCAAACTCCACAGAATCAATAATACTGAATTATATCATATCTTTCTTATTGTGAAAAATTGCCTAAAAATAATTGCATTACTATAATTACAAAATTTTCTCAATGCTATTTATGGACATATTTTGAAAAACCATTTAATGTCAATCAAATTGTTTTATGGCACCAGGTCGAAGCAGGAGTTCACCGTTTGTTCTCACAGGTCTCCCGCACAAACACGCTGGAGAAAACTCACATCCCTTTTTAGTATAGCCCTCCGGGACAAACACATTTCCCCAATAATGACGCCAATACCAGAGAGTTAACCGCACATAAACGAGGTTCTGCCGTCTCTGAATACAAAATACTAACAATGCATTTGAATCGTATGGCACAGATTTCCCCCGTAGAGGTACAGGAGCATAACAGGGGATTTTGTTGTTGTATGTTGTCGCACCCCTCACTGGCATTTGGTCTCTCTTCACTGGGAAGGGGAACCAGATTTAGCCGAGGGTCTACATCCATATTGGTCCACATCTATTTAAACCAGGGGCACTTTTGGAGGCGTCACACTGTCTGTTTGTCAGCTCAGCCTGTTATAACTCTGCTTTAAAATAACTGCTCAGTAACAGACTCTGACCAACAGACGTAAAACACACACAAAATGATTGAATGTATAAAAAATAAATTACAAATA